TCTTCTTCTTCTTTTCTTCTTTCTTCTTCTTCTTCTTCTTCTTCTTCTTTCTTCTTCTTCTTCTTCTTCTTCTTCTTCTTCTTCTTCTTCTTCTTCTTCTTCTTCTTCTTCATGTTTCTTTTTCTTTCTTTCTTTTCTTCTTCTTCTTTTCTTCTTCTTTCTTTCTTCTTTCTTTCTTCTTCTTCTTTTCTTCTTCTTTCTTTCTTTCTTTCTTTCTTTCTTCTTCTTCTTTTCTTCTTTCTTTTTTTCTTCTTCTTTCTTTTCTTTCTTTCTTTCTTTCTTTTTCTTCTTTCTTCTTTCTTTCTTTCTTTCTTTCTTCTTTCTTCTTTCTTTTCTTTCTTTTTTTTCTTTCTTCTTTTCTTTCTTTCTTCTTTCTTTTCTTTTCTTCTGCGCCTCCTGCTGCTTGCTGCTGCTTCTCCTTCTTCTTCTTCTTCTTGTTCTTGTTCTTCTTCTTCTTCTTCTTCTTCTTCTTCTTCTTCTTCTTCTTCTTCTTCTTCTTCTTCTTCTTCTTCTTCTTCTTCTTCTTCTTCTTCTTCTTCTTGTTGTTGTTCTGCTTGTTGTTGTTGTTCTTCTTCTTCTTCTTCTTCTTCTTCTTCTTCTTCTTCTTCTTCTTTCTTCTTCTTCTTCTTCTTCTTCTTCTTCTTCTTCTTCTTCTTCTTGTTCTTGTTCTTCTTCTTCTTCTTTCTTCTTCTTCTTCTTCTTCTTCTTCTTCTTCTTCTTCTTCTTCTTCTTCTTTCTTCTTTCTTCTTCTTCTTCTTCTTCTTCTTCTTCTTCTTCTTCTTTTCTTCTTCTTCTTCAATCATCAGATCCTTTTTTAGAACGTCGCTCTCGTGAAAGTCTTATTTCAGTAGGCAGTTCTTGAGTTCTATGTGCTTTCATATCCAATACATCTTCAATGTTATGTACCCACTGTCAGGGAGTAGCGTTTAACGTGGACAGCTTTTGGGACAGGATGCTGTGTATGCGCCAGTTGTCTTTGAAGATCAGATCATGTAGGATCTCGGAGTTTTTCTTCTTCTTAGTCCAGGGTATTCTAAGAATTTGAATGCAGCATTTCCGCTTTAAAGCTTAGACCCCCCCTCACCCCTCCATGAATGAATAAGAGTCAGTGGCTCACGTACATCAGAATGCATCGAAAACATGCACGATTTCTAAACTGTTACTTCCAGTCGCTTGCAGGTGCTGCTGTTTCTTCATATTTACTCTCTGCTTTGCTAAAGCTTTCAACTGAGCTGAGCTGAGCTGAACCGACATCCGGACATTCCCATAAGCGCTCGGTTCCCATCGTCAGCAGCCAACGAGGATTTCCAACTCCGATGGTACAAGTGACATTGCTAAAGCGAGCCTGGCATACCACGCTGTTGTCTGCGTCTGTGGCTTAGGCGTCCCGATCGCGCTTTGCAATGCTGGAGTTACAGGTTCAAACCCAGCTGCGGGCGATTCGGTAGCGGTACCGAGAGCTGACCGTTTAGTAACAAATGGCAAACTCCTGAACGTAACATTTGCCTAGACAAACCACAACAGCAACAACAACAACAACCCCCAAAATATACTAAGGTTGGTTCTGCAGCGTCCTGTAAAGGATACGCAACTAACTCAACTGTTAAGACTTTCAAGAATGTGAGCTTTTTGAAGAATTTTTAGTCACCGGCGGAGGCCTAGTTTGCTAAGAGCTTGTTTGCAAGTGGCCTGTCAAATTTTCTTTGGATTGCCAGCAGGATGAGAGCTTTGCGTGAGTTTAACTGTTGTCTTGTTTGTTTTCCGGTGATATGTGGCCTAGTGGGTTTGACTTTCAGCTACAAGACTGGAGTCTGTATGTGATGAAGAAAGGCTCAGTTGCGAGATTGTGTGTGGGATTTCTTCAACAGGGCTGTTAGTTAGTTGTCCAGAGATTTATGTTGAGGAAATGAGGAACGTAGATTGGGAATTATGCGTAGTTTCACCAAACTATCTTGAGCTGTATACGGGACATTCCACTAATATGTTGTCTTGTAAACGGGACATTCCACTAATGTGCTGACCTGTAAACGGGACATTCCACTAATATGGTGACCTGTAAACGGGACATTCCACTAATATGTTGTCTTGTAAACGGGACATTCCACTAATATGTTGTCTTGTAAACGGGACATTTCACTAATATGGTGACCTGTAAACGGGACATTCCACTAATATGTTGACCTGTAAACAGGACATTCCACTAATATGTTGACCTGTAAACGGAACATTCCACTAATATGTTGAACTGGAAACGGGACATTTTACTAATATATTGAGCTGGAAACGGGACATCTCAAGCAAGTTAGTTTATCCCCCCCCCCCTCCCCCAATCTCTCTCCCCCTCTGTCTCGTTTCTGTCACCATCCTCTACATATTGTATTGAGTTAAATCTCATGTTGAAGACAAACAAGTTTGCTATTAAAAATATAACAATAATGGTTCTTCCAGACAAATATAAATGCATTTGCTACAGTCAGCATAAACACAAATATCAATAATGCATAGAGAAGGCGGTGGTGGATCTTGCCGTTTACCTTGAGTATTGAGTGTCGGACAGATGCCCTGGTCACTTTTGGTCGCAGCTTTCTCTTCAGATCTTGATGATCTATTTGTGTCTATATCATGTTCACCCGCTTCCACACGGCCGACTCTATGTATTCTGGAGAAAGCGATGGACTCACACAGGCCGTTGATACAATATAGCTTGTTGTGGATCACATATTATTATTAACTGTGAAATAATGTAACAGTGAATATCCGTTTGCAAGGAGCGTTCCAAAAGGGTAGACTGTTAAACGGGCCTGCGTGCCCAATTCTTAACCCTTTGAAAATAAAGTGTGTTTGTTCCTTCAGCTTGCCGTCAAGTGCTAACAGGTCAGTGTACCGCACCGGCAGATTTTGGGAATCATCGCCCGGTATCTAAAATATGTCGTGACAGTTATCCAAAGTCAATCTGCTGACTACTTTTGTGACCTGGCAGTAGACCTACGCCCAGCGGCAGTTTCCCACACTCACATTGTCATGACAAAGTTTATATTTTGACCTGTACGAATTCCTTGGCCATAAATACCGCGATTTATTAGCATCTGTTGCATGTATGCATAAATTAAAACAAGGGGACACAACTAGACGCTAAGAATAGTATTTGTTTCGCATTTTTCTGTTATCGTCTGCATCTATATGGCCTCTGGTGTTTATGGGATGAATCATGGATGAGCTAGAACAAATGGCGGAATTAACTCGGGGGTGGGATTTAAGGAATAACCCATTAAAATGCTTTTTGCCGCGTCGCCCCAGATTACGCCTTCTTATTATTATTATTAAGTAAAGTAAAGATCCCTTTTCAAACCTTTAGGCGCATCAGGCATATGGGAAGAGCACCCATATTTTTACAGACCAATCGGCACTAATTTGGTAATTGGGTCAGCATTACGCCGGTGGTCTTTACTTCCCCAGGACATACATCCTGGTACACATTTTAGGCTGGGTCGACCTGCGACGCCCTTTACCATGATAAAAATCCACACAACCAGCGGTACGTTGGAATTACCAGTGGCACTCGCAACGCCTAATCCACGGACGCCACTCTTATTAATAAAATATATATTTTTATTATTGCTTCTGTGTGTACTTCTTTCTCTTGGCCGTCCCATTATGGCACCTACTGTTTCGTTATTTTAATGCCAAACTCAGGCTGTTATGGGTGGCGGGGGGGGGGGGGGGCTGAAATAACCTGACGGTTGAATCAGGGTTTCTGGGACCTATACCCGGGTGAGTGTCATCCGAATGGTGACACTTTTGTGTCAGGGCAGTTATCGCTCGTTGTGAAGTCCTGGTCGGGTTGAACTTCATTCATTGATTCATTCATTGATTGATTCATTTATTCATTCCTTAATTCATTCATTGATTCATTCGTTCTTCCTCTTCGTCGTCTCAGTCCCTTTATCTACCTGACCAGAAAAGCAGGCCAGATTGCGTCCTTTTATTGCTTTTGTTATTATTATTTTTATTATTATTATTATTATTATTATTATTATTATTATTATTATTATTACATCTGTGTCTTCTTCATCCTCTTCGTATTCTTAAATACCCCAAACCCAGAACAGCAAGGTGTAGCCGACACGAGTGCCCTGCTGTTTATATCATCTCGGGAGTTTGAAGTGGGTATTCGCTTTTCCTTTGAGTACACCTGCATGAGAGGCGAGGGACCAACAGTCTGCACACAAATAATCCAGATTTGTAAAACGAGTGTGCACACAAAACTCAAGTTCTTGAACAAAAAATCTCCAGAAGTGGACCAACAGCCTGGACTTTCCACCGGAGTTTACAGCCTGTGAACGCGAAGAAGGTGACCAAATTGAGTATTTATCTCGTTGGGTTGACATCCAGGCCGCATTTAGACTCGATGACACCCTAAGATGTATAAAGCTCTGAGACCCCTTAAGTTATAAAATTACATTAGGTAATCTCATAAAACTGTAATAATATTTAGGTAAGTTAATAAAAGGGGCAAGCTGACATATCACGCTGATTATTTGATTAATTTTAAATAGGCTACAAATTATAAAAAAAATAACTGCCTGAATAAGCAAGTTTGACCCCACCAGGACATCACACAGAGCGTTAAACAGCCGGTGACACATGGTGCCACCATGCGGATGAGGATCACACGTGGAGAGGTCTCGGAAACCGCGTTCAACCGTTAGGTTGTATTGCGGCCCCTAGTTAGGGTGAGACAAAATAATAATTAAAAAATTGCATCCCACAAGGGGAATGACGAAGCTAATACACTGTAATAATATACCCAAAATAGTATTAATACAATTAGAAAACTTACAGGAGAAGAAAATTGCATTTGTGAAAGAAAAAAATAAGAATTTTGTCAGGTCCCTACACATTATGAGGCCCTAATATGTGGCACTAACGTTTCACCAGCTCCAGGTGCACCCTATATCTGACCTCAGATTTGCTACATCGTAGTCTTGTTTCATCTCCAGGATTCAGGGGCAGAAACTGCGAGGTAAACATCGACGATTGCGTCAACAACAGATGCCATAACGGATCCACGTGTCTGGACAAAGTGAACGATTATGTCTGTCTGTGCCCGCAGTCCTACACAGGTGATTTGCTTAGTAGTAGTAGTAGTAGTAGTAGTAGTAGTAGTAGTAGTAGTAGTAGTAGTAGTAGTAGTAGTAGTAGCAGCAGTAGTAGTAGTAGCAGCAGCAGTAGTAGTAGTAGTAGTAGTAGTAGTAGTAGTAGTAGTAGTAGTAGTAGTAGTAGTAGTAGTAGTAGTATTAGTAGTGGCAGCAGCAGCAACAGCAGCAGAAGTAGTAGTACAAGTAGTTGCAGCAGTGGTATTAGTACAAGTAGTAGCAGCAGCAGCAGTGGTAGTAGTAGCAGCAGTAGTGATAGTAGCAGCAGCAGTTGGGGAGTAGCAGCAGTAGTGGTAGTAGCAGCAGTAATAGTAGTAGCAGCAGCAACCGTAGTAGTAGCAGTAGAAGTAGTGGCAGTCGCAGTAGTAGCAGCAGCAGTAGTAGCATTATTGTTGTTGTGTTGAAAGCGGTGGCTGAACAGTTCTCGAACTGGTCACACTTTTAGTTGTGCTGTGCAGAGAATGCCACTACAGGCAGATCGGCTAGGACAACCCACCTGTACGAGGACTACTGTCACATAAAGAAATTATGAAAACTGCAAAGAAAATCACGTCTGAACGCAGAAACTCGACAGAAAGCTGTGACCAGAAATTGACGACCCACATCTGACAGCGTGGACTTCAAGAATTAATACATCTTCGGAGCTGTGTATTTGCGAGACCCTGTGTGTACATGATGCACTGATACAAACTTCTTCCAGTCTATCCCTTTATATTGTTATATTATGAAAAGATATAAAACAGACGGAAAGTAAAACCACAGCTTCACATCATCACAAACAGAAAAAAGTGAACGTTGCGGCAAGAGAACCTTCATCAGCATATTGCACAAATATCCAGTACCACAAACACGAAAAAGAATACACAAAAATCATTATTTTCAAGTCGGAGTGCATCTGCCTGAGAGGCAAGGAACCAGCAGTCTGCACACAAATGAGTCAGATCTGCTAAACGGAAGCACACGCAACATTCAGATTCTGGAATAGTACTACAGTCCAGAAGTGGATGAACAACCAGAACTTTCCGCCAGAGTTTACAGCTGGTGAACGCATAGAAGAAGAAGAACACAAAAATAACGTAACTGAAGTGTCTCTGCGAGGAATCACATATCTCTCCGGCCAATTGAATGTCTGACACGTATGTGACCATTAGAAAGAATACTACTGTTCAGAACAATTTTTAATTGACCTAATTATTTCTTCACAATTCCACCCAGGTAAATATTGCCACGAAGACATCGATGAGTGCTCCCGGACCCCCAACCTTTGCCTCAATGGAGGAACTTGCATCAACAACGTGGGCTCCTACATCTGCGTCTGTGTCAACGGCTGGGCGGGGAAACACTGTGCCCTGAACGAAGATGACTGCCAGAACATGCCATGCTACAATGGAGGCACCTGCCATGACAGAGTTGGCTACTTTGAGTGCGAGTGTCCCGTTGGGAAAACAGGTGAGCTTTAAGTTTTGTGTGTTTATCTTGATTTCTTCTTCTTCTTCGATCCTTCTGTCAGAAAATTTATATCAGAAGGCCCCGTAGCTTTTATGAAAAATATGTGCAGTCCACAACCCCTCGTGCACCAAACAGTTTTGTCTTGATTGTGGTTTGAACAAGCCAGATTGTGCCTCTGTTGTTGGCATACAATTAACCGCGGTCATCTTTAGATATAAATAGGCCAACTGGGTCAACGGGGATTCCCGTTCTTGTGCAAGAATTGAGTCCTTCTACATTTAAAGTAGAAAAGTAATAAACAGCCAGTTCCCAAAAATCCGAACTACTGACTAGAAACAGTGACACTGACACACACATCACAACACGACTGTCTTCCGTGAATTAAAATTAAAATTAAAATTGCTGTATATCCACTTCACAATATCCATTTGTAGATTTGTAATACGAATACGTTTAGAACACAGGACTTTGTAAGTATATTAATATGTCACACATTGCAACATGGAAACGCTCCCAGTAACCTAATTTCGAGGGGGACTCCTCCAAAATGTACCGTGATTCAGTTGTCGGGACTGAATTTACAGCCGGACGTGCAATTAACAGTGGTGGAGCACATGCTCGGGATTTTCTGGCGCGAAGCTGCAGCGTCTGCTAATTCCTACACGGAAAAGTTTGAACATATTTTGACGAAGTCTGTTGTGCCCAGTCCTTATTCTGAATATATAATAATACATTGTCCTTCTCTAGAGGTCTTGATTTAATCATTGAGAAATGTTAGATATTATAGAATGCGTTCTTTATTTGCCTTAGAAGGATGCTGCTTCTATCTGTCTTTAGCATAACGCTGCTCTCTGTCTCTTTGTCTTTAGATGATTGCTAGCTACCTTCTGTAAATTTGTCCTTAGAAGCACGCTGGTTACAGGTGGTCCGTTTGTTCTTGGACCTTGGCCAAACTGTGTAACAATATCATGAGATGGATTCCGGTTAGACTGTGTACTTTGTCCTTAAGGGGCACTGGTTAGACTGTGTACTTTTGTCCTTAAAGGGACACTGATTAGACTGTGTACTTTTGTCCTTAAAGGGGCACTGGTTAGACTGTGTACTTTTGACCGTAAAGGGGCACTGGTTAGATTGTGTACTTTTGTTTTTAAAGGAACACTGGTTAGACTGTACTTTTGACCTTAATGGAACACTGGTTAGACTGTACTTTTGACCTTAAAGGAACACTGGTTAGACTGTACTTTTGACCTTAAATGAACACTGGTTAGACTGTACTTTTGACCTTAAAGGAACACTGGTTAGACTGTACTTTTGACCTTAAAGGAACACTGGTTAGACTGTACTTTTGACCTTAAAGGAACACTGGTTAGACTGTACTTTTGACCTTAAAGGAACACTGGTTAGACTGTACTTTTGACCTTAAAAGAATACTGGTAAGTACTTTTAAGGGACATGAGCTGCGCTGTTTTCAGATCAACGTAAAAGGGACCTAGCTGCATATTTTTTCTTTGTCCTTTGAAGAAAACTAGCTATAAGATGTTACTTCCTCCGTAGATGGACGTCGGCTACATTGTGTTAGTTCAAGAACACTAGCAATTTTTTTACCCACAATTTTCACTAAAATAACTTTGACTGTGTGGTTTCTATTTACCACTATGCCTGTATCTTTTAGCCAACACAATAGACTTTTGCATGGTATGACTGAAATCCATTTGTTCTGTTACCACCCCCCCCTCCCCACACCCACCTCTTTCCCTCTCTCTCTCTCCTCTTTCATTCTTTCTTCCCAATCCCTCCTCCTCTCTATCTCTCCACTCTATATAAGCCTCTCTTTCTCTCTCTCCCTCATCTTCTCATCTCTAACTCTGTGTGTGTGTGTGAGTGTGTGTGTGTGTGTGTGTGTGTGTGTGTGTGTGTGTGTGTGTCTATCGTGTATATAACCCTGGTTACACACAGACGCACTTATGCCTTAAATGTACACATTTCATTTCCACACTCACAAAACACGTGATTATTCCTGTAACCATATTCTGCCTGTCTGAAACACTCCAGGACTGAGGTGCCACCTGAACGATGCTTGTCAGAGCAACCCCTGTTTTGCCGGAGCTAGCTGCGAGACATCACCCATTGACGGGGAACCGGTGTGTATGTGCAAGAAGGGCTGGAGAGGGCAGGATTGTTCTCTGGATATTGACGAGTGTGTGGAAAGTAAGTGTTTATATTCTTGCTGTTGTTGATGTTTTAAAAAGGATAGGACTTTAAATGGAATAATGATACATAGTGGACAGAATCACGATACATAGTAGGCACACCAGACAGGCACAAAAATGGGAAATAAAAGGGACTGATGAAGCAAGGACGTCTGATAGAAACCCTGAAACGAATGGTGATGAGAGAGGCCAAAACTGCTATGCTGAATTCGATTCGTGATGTCAAAAGGATTGCACAGGCAAGAACGGAACGTGGGGGGGGGGGGGGGGGGGCTGCGAGCCCTATGTGAAATATAATGGGGTAACATAACAATGATGATGATACTACATAGTATCTTTTTTTTTTATATACAAATGTAAGGTAGAAGTTATAGGGCGTTAGTTTTAGTGCGCTGTGAGGATACATCAGCACATCTGATTTAACAGTTTTAATTAATAAGTGGCGATGCTTATTGCTTTTTTTCAGTATGTTCTTGTTGATGATGAACGGCTGGCCAAATGGTTAAGAATGTTGAGTTCTCATTCGGTAGACCAAGGTTTTAGATCTTCGGTATGATACTGGATTATTTATTCTGAAAAATAAGGGGGGGGGGGGGGGGGGACAACACCGAGAAAAACCACCCTGACTTGCACAGTTAGTGGCGACTGTACCAGCCGTACAGCCCTAAATCCTCCTGACCTATACTTTTTTTAAATAGCGGTGCATACAGGCATGGCTATTGCAGGGTCATGTGGTACTCCGTGCGAAAACTATTGTTGTCACGCACGGACCCATACAAACACACACAGACACGAACGCGCGTATATACACACAGACACACACACATTCTCACGCACGCACACAGACTTATGTTAAAAATACGTATTTTTGCAATTTGTTCGCCCCTCACCCTCTAGTGACAATACCCCGGTACGGCCCGCACTCACTTTGCTACGCCTGACTGCACACCGGCTCATCGATGCTTAGACTACAAATAACATTAACTAGGCTACTAGATTAGGGGACATAAGCAGCCATTCACTCTTTGACATGTCAATAATAGATTACGTCCCATGTTTCAGCTGGTAATATGGGCATAGAAATAACGGGGAAAATGCAGAGGGTAGCCAAAGAGTGAATTTGAAAAGATTGGGAGAGCTGCATGCGATAGCAAATGATAGAACGGCTTGGCTTAAGTTAGTTGAGGGCCCATTGGGAGTTAGACAGACAAAAGAAGAAGAAGAATTCATCCCCTACCCCCACTGGTCACCATTTTTTGCGCCCAGAGTGATCAGATACGGTCTAATTTTTTTAATGCAGTTTCACAGTCACACAGTATTGCCGCACATTGGGGCGGGTGTGCAGAGAGTGGTCAGCGAGTGCTACGGAGGTTGAAGTCCAACAGTTGATTCACGACAATTCACGCGCAGGTGATCTGATTATATATACAGATGGTTCGGTGCTGAGAGAAAAGAGAAGTGCCTGGCGGTTGGTAGGGGATAAAGTTTCCCGGAAGTTAATGCGGTCAGCCGATGTTCCATGAAGTCGAATTTGTCGGCGTAAAGGCGTAGATATCACAGCTTTGCTGCAAACCAAAGCTGTTACGTCACTCGGACGAACGAAAAGAAGAAGACGAGGTTCGTTACACTTTGTGCCGTGATGGACGGAAACACCTTGAACTAACATTTGGACCTTCTCCTTGACTCTCTAGCCGAGGACAGCCCTTGCGAGCACGGAGGGACCTGTATCAACACCAACGGTTCCTTTCACTGTCAGTGTCCTGGAGGATTTGCCGGCAGCTTCTGTGAGAGGAACATCAACGAGTGCAACAGTAACCCTTGTCTCAACGATGGGACTTGCCTGGATGAGACAGGGAAGTATAGTTGTCTCTGTATGCCAGGTAAGACTTTTATTCTCTCCAGTTATGTGTGGACTTCTATGTAGTTGTTCACTTGTCTGTGTGTGTGTGTGTGTGTTTAAATCTTATTTTTCTTCTTCGCGTTCACAGGCTGTAAAATCGAGCGGAAAGATCTGGTGGTTTGTCCACTTCTGGACTCTAGCCGTGTTGCGTGTACATCCGTTTCTCAGGTCTAACTCATTTGCATGCAGACTGTTGGTTCCCTGCCTCTCATTTTATTTCCACGAATATATCTCAGTACCTGTACCCTTCATGCGTACATCTCTATACCGATGTAGAGGCCAGCCTCGACGTCTGCTATCCATCTGTAGTTCGCCATTGAGCTGAGGATGTTTGTAAGTACTGTACCATCCCCCATTCTCTATATATCACCCAGCCACCTGGGACTGAGCACACTGAGAAAACTTGTGGTCCTACGCATCAGATTTCGGCAAACCCAATTTGCCCCCCCCCCCTCCTCCCCCCTCCACCCTCTTTTCCCTCATGTTTTTTTTAACTCTTTCATTCCTAAAACAGCACACGACGTGCACTAGCCAACATGTATTTTTTGCGCATAAGTTTAGTTAGGCACACTAAATCAAACCAACAACATAAATCACCCACAGTCTGCTGGGGTATGTGGACCCTGTGGATGTAGTATACCAATGCATCCACTAACTATGAAATTCTGGAACTAAAAGTGTTAAGGGTAAGTGGTCAGTTTTGGTTTTCCTCAAAATAGGGCACCGGAATTTACACGGGGATACTGAAAGCTGGCTAATTCTGCTTCCTGTTCTGCGGGTTCTTATCCAAACTGGAGGATTTACGTATAAAGCAGTTAGGCCATTTACCTCGAGCTTTGTAGGTTGGGGTACATCTGAGACTCCAGGGGTGGTCGCTAGAGCTACGGTGTTCAGCGGTTCAGGAAGAGATAAATATTGGTTTTGTTTTGAGATGGTTATAGACTGGGAGTCTAGGTCTGTCCTACAATCGACTGTCTTAACGCATGGGACCATTAATAATATTACATTCAATATTATCGGCTAATTTCATTTCATTCATGTCACTGGTTGTCGTAGGGCCCCAGGACAGTGGTTTGCCCAGGGGTCCATAATGCTGTTAGGACGGCAGTACTTCCAATCATTTATTTTTCACACTGCACTTATATGACACTTTGTGCGAGAGACCAGACTATGTGGAATAACAACCTGGCGCAGAGAGGTTTAGAAAGTTTTCAAATGAAGTTTTATGGAGTTCTAAATATATTTTGTTCATGTGCCTCTTCTGTAGCAGACGGTTAAGAGGGCACACTTGATTTCCTTGGGTTATATCCACACAGAGCATGAACTCCGTAGCTCCAGCAACGATCCCTTGGGAAATCCGTAAATCCTGCAGACTTTGGTTTCCTTAACTCTCGAACCGTCTCAGTCACCTGATATTTTGTACAACAGTGTGATATGGCAATGGCTGTTTGGAAGAAGTTTGTGAAAATATACACAGCTTTGAGAAATTCACAAGTTTTATTCTTAAGTCTGATCGTTACAACAGTCAACTGAGAACATTGCGATCACCAGCAAAATAAAATGTTGAATTTCTAGGGGTTGAGTAAAGAGATGGACTCTCGGGCTAAGCATTGTTCAACTGAATAATAATAAAAGTAGTAGTCGTAGTAGCAGTAGTAGTAGTAGTAGTAGTAGTAGTAGTAGTAGTAGTAGTAGTAGTAGTAGTAGTAGTAGTAGTAGTAGCAGTAGTAGTAGTAGCAGTAGTAGTAGTAGTAGTAGTAATAGTAGTAGTAGTAGTAGTAGTAGTAGTAGTAGTAGTAGTAGTAGTAGTAGTTGTTGTTGTTGTTGTTGTTGTTGTAGAAATAATCTGCTGAATGGCTAAAAATACAATATTGTCGAAATAATATATGTAGAAACGAATACTTAAAACTGTTGGTGGGGGGGGGGGCCCCCCCCCCCCCCCCAGGGGAAGAAGGAGGGAGCACTGGTCCCTTTCAAAATTCCCGGGGGGGGGGGGGTGGACGGGGTGCGCTCAAGATGTCCTAAATTCTTTATTTCGCCGCCCCTGGTTCTGTGCACCTTGTCCTCCTAAGGCGCCTGTATGTCTGTGTGGTGTGTTGGTGTGATATCACGCCGAATGTTGGAATTCCCCAACACTTATACAGATTATTAAAAGCGTCTGTCTGACATGATTGTCCAGCCCACACTGTGAATCTGTGCGGTCTCCGATTGACACGGACCAATGGCGGCGGTCAAGGCGTGTTCTCATTAATTTACCACTTCCTGGTGCATAAAAGTTAGCTGTCCTTCTATGGTATATTTTTTACTAGCGCATCTTTTGGGTCCGCCCATATTTCTGATGGCATCATACAACAATGGTGCATCTTTGTTGTTAAAAAAAAAGATCCGTTAGCTGGTTGACTGGTTGATTTGTTTGTTAGTTGTAGCTGCTGAATAAGGGGACGGAGTGCTTATGGGGTTATCTTGAACACAGTGTTGTCAATTCTTCACTATACAGTTATGTTTATTTCTTTCTTGTAGTTTTGTATTATGTATGTATGTTTGTTTGTTAGTCGACATACTATCCTCACTGGACGTCTACCCATTCATTTAGCCCAAAAGTACGGGAATCTCTTCTTCGATATATCTGTCCCTCAACATTTCACGACTTGAAATCGGTATCAGCTATTTAAGGGTGTATTCTTTTGAGTCCAGTGGCTTTAAACTTGGGGGAGTGGGGGTTGGGGAGTGGGGGGGGGGGGGGGGCGTCGAGATCTTGCCAAGTATTCAAGGAGTGCGACCTGAAAAAAAAGTTCAAAACCACTGGTGTTGTTATTGTAAGTAATATAAGATCTTTGTCACGGCCGTGTCAGATCCAGCAAATGATGCAAGACTCACATTTTTGTAGACCAGTCGGCACTCGATAGGCGATGGGATCAACATCCTGCTGGCCGCCTTTATTTCTTAGGACATTATCTAATACTAATTTTTATGCTGGGTCTACCTAGGAGTCAATGTCGTGTATAAAAATAAAAAGGGGGGGGGGGGCATCAATGATTCTGCTTCTGCTTCTTCTTCTTTTTCTTCTTCTTCTTCTTCTTCTTCTTCTTCTTCTTCTTCTTCTTCTTCTTCTTCTTCTTCTTCTTCTTCTTCTTCTCCTTCTTTTTCGTCTTTTTCTTCTTCTTCATCTTGTTATTATTCAAGATTAGGCCCACTGCCTACCTAAAAGCATATCGTAAGAGTCGACTAATTGAGAGCTTCCTTTAAAGTTGGAGTGCATCTGCCTGAGAGGCAAGGAACCAGCAGTCTGCATACAAATGAGTCACATCTGTAAAACGGTTGCACATGCAACACTCAGGCTCTGGAACAGGACTGCAGTCCAGAAGTGGACGAACAACCAGAACTTTCCGCTAGAGTATACAGCTGGTGAACGCTAACAACAAGAAGAAGATTATTATTGTAATTATTATTATTATTATCATCGTATATCCACTGTAAACCCCGGCAGAATGATTTGCTTGTTTGGCCACTTCTGGACTTTGGTCTTGATCCAGAACGTGATTTTGCGTGCACATCCGTTTAACAGATCTGGCTTATTTTATGCTGTTCGGTCCTTACCTCTCAGAAAGATGCACTTCCACTTCGAAGAAAACACCCTAATTAGACGTCTCCTGAGACATGCTTGTTGTGTCTGTGTTGGCGGGTATTTGGTCTATTCTTCCCCAATGGGTCACTAAAACCCTTACGGTGGGGTTTCCTTCTGACCTCTAATTTTTTCCCTGCCCTTCTTGCAAACTGGTCCTCTTAATTTGTTATCCTTATCTGAGAAGTTAGATGACCGATCTACTACCCCAGAATTGTGGAGAGACTTTCTTATCTTTGTAAAAGCAATCCGTATCGTCAATATAGTCGGGGACTGTGGCTTAGGTGTTGCGAACGCGCTTCTTAATGCTGGGGTGGCGGGTTCGATCCCAGCAGCAGGCCTTACTCTTTGCGTTGATTTCGATAAAGGTATTGAAAGGCCAACCGTCCAGAAAGTAGTGGCAAACTACTGGACGTAAACTTGCCTAGTAAAACCACAACAACATAAATGATGGGGTTGGTTCTGTAACGTCCTGGAAAATCGTCAGTATTGATTGTGAATCATAGCCGGTCTGCTCAAGCCAGTGGCAGACGCCCCGGAAACAGTTCGTCACTATCAAGTGCCCTTCCGACTGTCGTAGGCGGTACTGCTTCTTGGCGCCTTGCGATTCTGAACACATTTCATCAATTCGTGAGTTATCACCGTTCCATGTCACGACCAAGTGTTGTCAAAAATCTCTTCTTGTCTCCCTCTGTCATTTTTCTGTAAATATTCCCAGTTATCCCAAATTCCAGTTTTCCTTCCCATAATATGGGCAATGATGACTACCTCTAGAATCATCATCAGCATAGTGAGCCTTGTCGATAAGCGTAGGCTGTCATGTTTCACCATCTCATACGATCACCAGAATCACGGATCAGGTCAGTGTTTATGTCTCTTCCCTTCCATATTTCTGAGCCATCCAAGTATTTATCTCTGTCCTTTCCGCTCGCTCTTTTTTCCATCAATTTTGCCGATCCTTAACAAGTTTTAGAGTCCATTCCTACTCATAATATGTCCCAGAAACACTGACTTCTGTTATCCATGACAAGTGTAACTTTTAAATCCTTGAACCGCAGCCTAATCTGCTGGAGAGGGGGGGGGGGGGTGAATTCGTCTGCGTGTAACTGTGCGTGGCTTCGAGCACACGGGCTCATCTTCAGGAAGTGAGGATTGCCTCTACTCGAGATGGCATCTGCTGTCACGTTGTCATCCCTGTTTTTCCACTTAAATGAAGAGCGGCTACGTTCAAGTCTCAATCCGTGCGCGCCTGCTTAGTTTGTGCATGCATTTGACTGTTTTAGCGTCTGTGTTTTAGCGTCTGTTTTCGTCCAACGAATTAGTTCGGTTTATATCTTTTGGATGTTTTTTCATTAAGT